GGCCTTAGCAAAGATGGCTGCAGATTTTAACCAAAATATCTCAGATATTAATATTAATACATTGAAAATTATAAAAAACAAAATGACTACTCTTTCTAGGTTACACAAAATGGTTATAATGTTACAACACTAGAAGTTCTGATGTTTTCAAGGAGTTTAGTTGGTGCTGCCAAAGACCATCCTAGTTGAGTCACTTACAGAAAAAGTAATCTTAAAGGGTATGCACTATACAAAGCTCAAACAAAATTCACAGGCAACCTCTCTTCCCCATTTATTTCGACCCTGACACTGCACAGGGATAACTGATATCAACCTAAGCAATATTTCTAGTTAATTTAGGTGTGACCCATTTGATGATAGAAACTCACTGTCTCCCGCCAAACCAAGTTGTTTTTTTTAATCTGTAACAGACTAGCTGAAGGTGCCTAGAGAAAGATTCTCTTTCTAAAATGTGAGATTCAACCTAAGTGCTGCCTATTTAATTAAATGTGGGCTTTAGCACTTCATTTTAAAATACTTGTTTCAACTGATTTCTATAAATTGGTATGATCTGGATTGTAACAAAGATAATGTATGAGAAAAGACAAGTACCAAGGGACGGAATTTTCAAGGATCATTGTCAATGAACAGAATGATGTAAGCCTGAGGTTATTAACAAGCCATAAATATGCTCAAATACTTACGTGTGCCTGTGTATATATACTTTTTTAAACAACTTTTTTTCCAAATTAGACCAGCTTCATCAGTAGGACACAAACCCAAGTCTAGTTTTCCACTTCATCTCTCCTCTAAGATTGTTAACAACAAAAAGTATTTAACCAACAGGAAGGACAGTCCCAAAGCAATCACATTACTGCACGGCAAAAGCAAAGATAACAGCTCGGTTTATCTTCAAACATGTGAACCTGAGCCATCCCCACAACCAGAAAACACGCATCCTTAGCGTCTTTGTTAGTTTAAGGAAATGTGACTCTGGAAACACGCACTTGCTGCATCACAATGGCAGTGCACAGCCAGCCTTATTTCGGCATACTGTTTGTTTTCTAGATTTTGAGGAAATGTTTCCAAGGCCCATTCTCAGATATGGTTTTACTTCTGGATTCATTTTTCTCAATACTGATGCTGCACTATTGGTTTCACAGGCTTATAAATGTTAAACATCAAAAATTAGTTTCACTTATTATGGTTGGAAAAGCCTTTAAGAACTCTGGGATCTGTGCCTTTGAGCAAAGGCTTTATCAGCAGGTCCCAGTCACTGCTTCTTGAGAAAAGAAAACGGTACTGATTAAAAACCAATATACCTGATTTCCAAAAGGACACCTACCATGCACGTATACATTTAATTCATAAAGGGTTTCGGCACTAAACTTACAATTACTTACTTGTCAAAATCCCATCTCTCATATCCATGGTGACTGGCACCAAGGGGATAAATAAGAAAAAGTAAATCTTAAACTAAACTATTCAAGAATTCCATCTTGATTGCTTTAGTATTCTTCATGGGTGTTTAACTAACATAGCATCAGTATCTTTCCCATGTCTGTGTCTGAATAGCAAACACTTTCCAGATGTTTTCTACTTATACAAGGAAAAGAGTATAGCCCAAATTATTGTTCTTCCTTTTAATCAGAATTCTTTAACCACACACTAAATAAATTTAATTTATTTTAGTAGAATAAAGCATTATATTTGTAGGCAAGTAAAAAGAACACTTGAGAAATATGTTCACGATCCTTACAAATGCTGTAAATATCATGTATTTCTAAAGCAATCTTATTTATCATAAAGGTGACAGGAAATAACCACCCTTAAAACAGAAAATACCTTGCCTAGTGCTAAGCAATTCTCATTTCTAAAACAGAACTATGGCAAAACAAAACACAAAAACAGAAACCTAACATCCTCAAAAGAAACACAGGTATCTGAGACCTGTAGGCACTACTTTTGCACATTCAGACAAGTAGCTTTAGAAAAAGGAAAGTTCATGAGTGACCACCGGTGGGGCAGACAGGGTGGGAGCTAACATGCAAGCACTGGTGAATGCAAGGCCACTGGTAACCCCATCGTCTCCCAGTGCCCCATTAGGAAAACTATCCAATTTTCAATGGCCCAGGCTTACTGAGAGGTTTAACATAGATACATGAAATATTCTATAATCAAATACCTGATTTATGACAAATTTTAGATTTGGTTTGCCAGGTAAAGATGAAAAGTACAATCAAATAATGTATTAAAGATCCAAAGTCATTGGGCAACCACCATAACTGTCCCAAACAGGGACAGAATCAGTAATGGATGCTAAAACTAGTGGATAGAGGATAATGTGAAACAGAATATTTACACAGTCTCAAATTACCTTCCATCTCTCTATGAGATACTTATTAATTACACAAGGAATATAGCAATGTTAAAAAGGAGAAAAAGAAAGACAAAAAGAATAACAGCCAGCCTTTTATGGATCATGTGGAGCCCACATTTTAATGCCACAGACTAGGTCTTGCATTGCTCTTTCTCCCTATAGCCAGGCAAGGAGCTGATGAAACTTACTGACTTGGGGCCTCTGGCTAAGTCAGTAACCTCATTATCTGGTAAAGATCACAAAATACATAACTCTCGGGTCTTCAAAAGAAAGTCCAGACAAGCAATGATAACGGGACACCAGTTTATTGAGTCCTATGATCCCTGAGAGATGACAGATGAAGATACAGAAGTCCACAGTGTTTCTGAAAACAATCAGGCAGCCATACCTTGGGCCCTGCTGGTTTTTATCAAATTTCTATCTTTAGCTTTACTGGAACTATCTAGCCAATTCAAAGAACAGCCAAGTGCTGAGGGTACCAGCATCTGCTGGACAGCAAACAGTAACAAATTCCCCCAATTCCTAAAAGGATTCAAGAGATACATGCTTAAACATGAGACACAACATGTATTTAAGTGGTGTATTTAAGTACCAGTTAGTCCTCTAAGAATTTTTGCTTCTCACGCAAATGCAATGGGTACTAGAGAAGGCTACCAAAAGGCTGCATATCCCTTACTTAGGGTGACCAAGACCAGTGATTGATGTTGCTGCCTTAACCTCATTCGTTTCTCAGTCCTTGGAAGCCCATTTAGACCTTGAGCCACTCTTCATTCCTCGCTACCCACATGATGTCCTACTGTACCGACTCCTCCCCATCCTTGTAGCCATATATACCCATTGGAATCTCTTCCATCCCTAGAAGCATTGGCCTTCCCTACCATTCTCTGACATTTCATGGTCAACCCCCAAAAATTTGGAGATGAGATATATTGTGTATATTTGGCAGGCTGGCCAAGAAACTGAACCACTATTTCTAATAGCATTTCTAAGGAAAAGTAAGTTCTAAATGCCAAAATAGTTTACTTATTAACAAACAATTTTAAAGATGATCTTTAGCACACAGCAGATTTGTAGGGATAAGGGCCCAGATATATATCAAACTGCAGATAGTGAACTAACAGTGAAATCCTACTGAGTTTGTGGTACAAATCAACACACTATCAAATTCACTCTATTAAATGTAATACTTGAACTTTTCTATTGAAAATAGCGTAATAAAATGCTATTATAGTCAACAAATGCCATTATCAATTAAATAAGAATCTGGTTACTTTAAGATGAAATAGAGCAAATGTCAAACTAAAAGCACAAGAAGTAACATAAGCTGGGAAGTAAAGAATAAATCTTGTAAGAAAAAAAAACATTAAAAAATGTTTTAAATGTCATTTTTTAAAAGGGTACATAACTTCCATTTATGCTGCTTCTTGCTTATGTCACAAACTCAAGTTCATAGCTTCATAATTTCCTTTAAGTTTATCATTAATAAATACACAGTATAAGTATTATAAACAGATTATAAATGAGTATTTAATGTGCCAGTGATTTTAAAACTTAAGAAAAAAGAAAGATAATTTCTGAATCCCTAAGATTCATTTCTAGACTCGTTTTTTTCCTACGTAAAAATATAAACCTCACAAGCATACTTATGCCAAGAACAGAAAACAAACTGACCAAAAGCCATCAATAGTAGATTTTTTGACATCTGAGGATGGAAGAGTAGAGGGTTGTTTCCATAGAAGAATTTACTGAAAGAGTACTTTCATATCACTACACTCAGTTTGGAAAAATGTTCACCGGCAGTTAAGTAAAAAAGAATAGTGAGCATGGTCATCAGTTTACACAGACGACTGATGAATGATGTTCTCTGTGTAACTGAACACTACGGAGTAGTTACGGTTTCACAACAAGGTGAAGAAGGTAGGAAAGCTATGGTAGAGCTTTTTTCCTAGAAAGGACAGAAAATAATTATAAAACAACAACAACAGCAAAACATATGCCAGCATGAGCTCTTTACTCTGTGTGTGACTCTGCCTATGTGTGACACCTCCCACTGATTCCCAGTTGGAGGAATATTATGCTCAGAAGGTGCAAGTCAGAATCTTGTGGACACCTTGTGTACTTGGAAAAAGAATATTCAGTATATCTGATGGCTTTATTCTACAGACTAAAGGTTAAATAAAAAAGGCTGAAAATTCTTTAGGGCTGAGGGAGGTATTTAGAATATGCAGGAAGAAAGCACTTTGGGGAGCAAGGGTTAGGGACATGTTGAAAGGCGTGACATTAGAACACGAAGCTGCCCTCAGGGAGAGTTAAACTGAATTAAAGATGCAAATGGAAAAAGAAAACTAGCCTTTTAATCGTAACTGGCAAAAAGCTCACTAAACTAGGTGAAATCTATGGGTGAATGCCAATCATGGATTGTATCCAGCATAAATTTTAGACCAGAATAATTTTAAAATATTAAAGAAAAAAATAAAACCCAGCATTCTGAAATAAATGGCAAAGTAAAAGGGAAAAAAATAGAAAGGAAAGCCTTAGATGAGATATTTGAATACTGAACTTACTCATGATCATAAAAACAATGTACATTCATTTTCAAAAATTCTGGAAATACAAAAAATGTGCCATCAGTTTGACTCACCTCTCGAGTAGCTAGCTGGTTGCTGAGCTCCTCAGCCTTCTCAATATCCCACTCCTCCACAGCCTGGTCTATACGCTTTTCAAGGCCTGACTAGAAAGAAAAAAACACAACAACTTAAAGGAAGGAAAGCAAGGCAAACATTTGCTAGCAATGTCTATGTCCTGGAACTACACCAAATGCTTTATATACTTTGACCATTTAATTCTCCTGATGAGTTGGTACCACTCCCATTTACTGGTGAGGAGAAGGCAGCTCAGAGTTATTAAATGGCTTATTCAAGGTCAGGTAAGATTTTTATGATGCCAAGGACTATGCTTTCCCTTAATAACCATACAATGTTAATGATAATAGAAATCATGACATGCTTATTATATGGTAGACCCTGGGCTTAGTAATACAAGAAGGAAGCTCATTTAATCCTTAAAACAGCTCCATGAAATACTGTTATCCTATTTTTACCATGAGGACACAGAGGCTTATATTCACTACCTTGGCAAAGATCACAGTCTATTTTGGTAAGGCCATCACATGAACCTAGGCTTGCCGAGAGCCTATATCCTCAATCCCCGTTCTCCTCGGCCTCTTTTCTCTACTGCCTATTCCTGTAGCTTGAGACCTACATTCAGTAGCCCTTCCTAGTCTTGGACTATGGCTAATAAGTTGGATATTAAACATGGGAGGAAACGTATATATAAGAATGATTTTATTGTCCTATAGATATGTTTTTTTTTATTTACTAGCTGAAGATATTTCAGAAAATCATCATTAAAATTGTTGTATTATCAAACAGACTAGGTAAGATTCATCACACATTTATGGAGTGATACTTAAATAGTTGAATTTTAGCTTGTGCAACTTTTTTTTAATGTTCTAACATATAGAAAATTTTATCCTAACAATTGCTTATCTAGGATATTTTCTATACTTTCAGTTAACTGACTTCTCCCTCCTTATCAGATGAAAGAAAGTCCCAGGAATGTCTCTTGCATCATGTACTGCTTCATTATACCAGTCAACTAAGAAATTTTGCCTTTTTTGATATAAGACCTTGAGCTTGGTGAACTAAGTATAAGCCTCTGTTTCCTTGTGTTCATTTAAAAATGCTCAAACACTATTTGCCTAGAAAAATTACAGAAACAAAGACCAGTGAGATCATCACTGATATCCGTACTGATTCAAGATCATTCCTTCCACAATCCTTCATCTCACCTAAGGATCTGAGAGGACAAAAGGCTTCTTTTCCTTGCTCCCAGCTGAGCTTGAGACTGTCATTCAATTGCCCCTCAGCCTCTGACCCTAGGCCATGTGGCTCTACTACCCTTTCCTACTCTGGTTCTACAATTATCTATACATCTCCAGATATTTCTCTTCTGTGTTTCTGTAGAACTCTTCTCTCGAAGGGCCAATCATCGTCCTGGACTCACTCTTCCAACAGTCTTCATCTTCAGGGACCTCTAACTAACACCCCAGCCCAGAGTCTATACTCTAGGCCAGTGACACTATAAATGTGGTCTGCAAATAGTGCTAGTCCATGAAATGAGCTGTTTCATAACGCACATCAACTACATGACTATGCAGTTTTGTCTAGGTGACTTTGTTAGGGGAGGTGGGCTAAGGGAGGAAGACAAGACTTTCTCAGAGAAGGAAGTACTACATTGAGTTACATTCAGGCACAAGCTCTTCACTTCTTAGAAGACCAATACTCTGAACAGGCTTGCTGTAGGTCATGAATAAACATCACCTGAAAGCTGCACTTCCAAAGCTTTACAATCTGGAATTCTCTTTGAACACAAAATTCTGTCTTTCCATTTATCCCAAGTCTCCATAGCCAGTGAACCTGCCTTGTCTTCATTTGAATCCAACACCCTATTTCTTCTCATAGTCCTTCAGTCCCTTCCTGGATTCTCCTATCTTCCCTCCCTGGCCTGCAACCCATCATTAATCTTTTCAACCAGACTCTAAGCCAGTAGTTCTCAGAGTTTCAGCCTGGACCAGCAGCAGCATTACCTAGGAACTTGTTAGAAATGCAAATTCTCTGAATCAGATACTCTGGGGGTCAGGCCCACAAATACACTGATTCTAACTGGACTAAAGTTGGAGAACCACTGACCTAAGTAAAAATTTCAGTTTCCTCCACCATCTTGTCTTGTTTGGGTTATTCCCAATTATTTGTTCCTACTACTTTAACATCTAGGTGTGCCAGCTATGTCAGAGAAAAACGGACAATTCACAGGCTTCACTAAAAGCTGTTTTTCAAACTCAGCTCGGTGGGCAGCCCTGTAAGTTCCTACATTCCTCTAAGAAGTTGTTACATATCTTTTCCAACTTTTTAGATATTCTCAACCCTATCTTCCTTTCCAGCAGATCATAACTCTACCCCTACTTCATGGGAGGTTGAGGCAAGGGGAGGGGGTAAGAAAAGAACCAAGGATATGTATGTCCTTTCTGGGACCTTCCTCTCACCTGCCACAAAGGTGTGTCTTCACTTTCTGTGTTCCTCTGGCCTTACTGCCTCCAAGGAAGAACACTCTCTCCTCCCAAGATGAGCCCTCCCACCTGTGCTCATCACAATTCCACCTGCTTGCATGTTACCCAGAATTCTGCTCTTTAAGTTTTCTTTTCTCTTTCCCCGACTCTCTCTCTGCAAGTTCTTTCATCTCTACATACCCACTACCCTGCCACACCCTTCCCCAGGCCCAGCACCTAACTGCTTTCCCCACTCTGGGCTGCCACTGCACTTCGTCTCTCTTTAGCACCTGCAAGGCTGACACACCACAGTGAGTTGTGCATCTGTGTCCCCTCTCAGTTCTATGCTCACTAAGGGCAGACATATGTGTTACTAGCTTGGTGTGTCCCAGCATTTAGCCCAGTTCTTCTCACACAGGAGGCACTCAGTCAGCCTAGTTATTGAGTTAATATTCACAGGACAGTAATCCATGTTTTCATTAGTACTGAAAAGACCCACCCAAATGGGGAACATTTACCACATATCCACTGTGCTGAGAAGTTCCCAAGGGAATTCCCCAGCAGTAATGCTATGGTAATAATAACCCTATGGCTAAAATAGAGTCCATTTTATTGCAGATTTATTTATATATAAATCTTTCCCACTACTAGAATATATATTATTTGAGGGCATAGAGAGTATCTTCTCCATCTTAGGTTCCCAGAGCTTAGAATAGTAACTACTCCTGGAACTTTTTATTTACTTTTATAGTAGAAGTAAAGTATTTTAATTAAGAAATGCTAATGCAATGGCCCAATGGCCTCTCCTTCCTCAAATGCCACTGAGATATATGAAAATAAAATGTTGAAATCAAACTTCAACATTCCCTGCACCTAAAATTCTGGGGTAGCCAGACACCTCAAGCCAGACTTAATCTGCTCCAATCTTTCATCTCGGCAACCTAGTCACTAATACACACTCATAATCCTGTCCTGCTTCTTCCACATAACAGCTGTTTGCTTCCCTCCAATTATCTAGGTTTCTGGAGATTACATAAGATCTAGGTACTGTACGCCTTTACTTCAGGACCTAGAGTTACCACAGATCAGTCAGTAAAAAGGAATCCACTCTATTTTTACCACCAATGCCCATGAATGAACCAGTAGTCTACTTATCAAGTCATTGTGCTGCAACAACTTGATAACTTAACTTCCCTTTGGTTACCATTGAGTCACAGCTTATAGCTAATGTAACAGAAGTGGAAAATAAGAACACTCCCCTCTTCTAGAAACTTCTATGAACTGTTGAGCTTATAGATACAATTTTCACTTAAAAATAAATCAACTAAAATTACAAATCTATCTGTGTACCATCAACCAACTTCTATTCCCCCAGCCACTCAAAGCAGCCTCTAAGGGAGATGGCATAATATAGTAGAAAAATCATGGAAACAGAAGCCAAGAAATGTGGACACAGCTCTGGGTAAATGAAGTATTTAACTCACAAGCCTCAGTTTCCTTAAAGAAAAAAAAAAAGCATTGGCTTAATGACCAAAATCCTCTCCCAGAAATAAAACCTAGAATTCCACTTTCAGGTTCAACTTTCTTTTGAAAGTTTTTTAAATTCAATTTCAACACATTTTCACTAGATACAACTTTTCCACAATTTCTTTCCTTTTTTTTTTTTTTTTTTTGGCAATTTAAGTAAAATATAGTAATTCCTTTTGGCTTCGAAAACTTTCTGGTTCCAAACTTTCTGCTTCCATAAGAACATTTTAACATTCCAAATACATTCAGAATGCTTACATTAGTAAAAAAAACATCCTTAGGTAAATCATGTCCTGCAGGTTCCTTCATCTCTACATGCTCACTTACATATAGTTCTTAAGAACATACAAAGAGCATGGCTGGTGAGGTCAGACATGGGGCTCAAATTCCAGCTCCTTCACATACTAGCCAAAAAACCCTGGGTGAGTTCCTAAACCTCTATAAAGGTTGTAGTTATCTCATCTGTAATGATGATAATACCACACTCTTTGCAGGGTATGATAAGGGTCAAAGAAAACATATGTAAAATACCAAGCAAAGTTTTTGGAATATAGTAGTCAATCAATAAATATGTTGTTCATTTTGTATCTAAATGTCAGGATACCATTAAAACAAAGAGAAGGCTTAGCTCTACAAGGCTACTGACCTCATAGTTTGTCAAGGACTCAGCCCCAAACCTAAGACCCAAGAATTCAACTTTGAGTCAGTAAGCAGCCTCAAGAAATGAGATACGCATATTAAGGCTTTAAAAATTCTGATGTTGGACCCAAGAATAACCTTCATTATGTCCTGCTCTAAGACACCTTTTATACCCCAGGAAGGACAGGAGGCACAGAAGCACTGCTGAGACTCTACACGGCCTCTGTGTGCTTCTAGAGGCCTTTTGGCAGGAATCAGAATCTAGTTTAAGGTATATCTCAATACAGACAAACGAGGGATGGCAATCTGGCCACAGGTGGAAATCATCTAATGCTGGTGTCAGGTTCCCATGAGGCAACAGGCAACCTCCAATTAGCAATTTTGCTACAGATACCAAGAAAACAGTAGTATAAATACCTAGGAAATTTATGGTCCTAGTTTTAACATTAAGGACCCACTATCCTATTTGTATGTGGAAATCTCTTCTGATATGTGGTTCAAACTCTTCAAGTCAACTGTACCAAGAAATATTTCTACAGAAGTTTTGCTACACAATATTTACTTACTTGGGTAATATATTCAATCAAAGCTTCATACAAATGAATTTTCCACTAAAGGCTGGTGGACTGTAATTGGACCTAAATATCTAGGGAAAAAAATTTGGTCATCTCTCCATAAACAAGGGGGAGAAAAAGAACTAAGAATTAGTACTGTTACCTTTAAATATAAATCATACCTACCTAAAATATTTGAATCAGCTTAAGTAAAAACTAATTCAGGCTAGTAGCTCAGAAAAATCTAGATTTAGGACTAAATCACTTGGGTCAAAGTATCATTTATTTCCTTAGATAAATCATGCCAAGGCTTCAGTTTCTTCATCTATATTATGAGACTAATACTAGCTCTACCCACCCACCCCACAGCGATCACCAAGGGATCAAGAGAGGACACCGTAACTGATGCCAGGGGAATATCACAGTACTCCTGCAACTCCCCCCAGCCCCCAGCCCCTCCACAGCCTCCACACCCCTACCAAGAAAGCCAGACTTCCAGTGATCTGTGTATAGGAGTCCCACGTAAGAATCTGTGGGAAAAAGCATTCTGCTAAAAAATTAAGTTTAAAAAAGCTTCACTATACAATAGCAGTTTCCATGTGTAAACAACTAAAAAAAAAAAAAACAATCAAAGACAATGTACTATTACTCTAAAAATTATTAAAAGTATTCCTTTGGCTTTCATGCCAAAAGGTATTCATTAAGTATATATAAAACTACTTCAATGAAGACTGCTAACTAATCAAATCGATTCAACTAATAAATACTTGAGACATTTATAATGAAACTAATGAGTAAAATTTATTCTGAAGAAATTCTCACATAAATTCAAAATAATTATATTATGATTACTGAATTTTTACTAAGTCCAGGACTGCTGCCAGAAACACAATTACAGCTGTATTTAATACAAAGAACACTTTAAAACAGCTTTGGATATTAGGAAGGTAACTTTTAAAACTACAATCCTCTCTGCAATGTCAGGGAAGCAGGTGACAGAAGTGTCGTAAATACATATCCATGGTTACGCAAGTTTTAGCTTGACAATGTTCCAAACAAAAAGGACTGTACAAGGGACACAAGATTAAGAAGTCTGTTTTGTTTTACCATTCTTGAGGGCTGAGTGACCACAGAATAAAAAGGCTCTCTCAGATATGGTAAATACCAGCCTCTGCTTCAAAAAAATAAAATAATGAACTAGAAATCCATGCTAGTTTTGTCCAGACTTCACCACAAATTTGCACAATCCTCTCTAGATTTCTTGAGCAGTAGCTATTATCTGCTAGACTTCGTTTATTCTTAGCTTTTTTCTTGGTGCCTCCAATGTGGACATTCTGTAATGTCTATTTGCTCTGTTGCATTCACAGCAAAAGGTGTCTGTGTCAAACAGTGATCCCAAACCAAAGGATGAGTGTGAACCTGCCGGCAGGCCATTATGCTGAACCACCAAGAGAATATGAAATTCTTTGGCCTCACAGAATTTTTCCTTGCCTTTTAGGCCTGCATTATTTATAGAATATTAAGTGCTGGTAAAATCCTGGGCAGACAGAAGCCCAGCCACCATCAGTTTCCTCGTTTAGAAGATTGCCTTAATGTTCTTTGTCAATCGCCATTCATATGGAGGAATACCAGTCATTAAGAGAACCTAAACTTATAAAATAGATCAATGGATGATTACAAAATAATTTGTAAGTCTTCTCTTAAGCAGAAATCTCATTTTTAAAATGGTACTTGGGTATAACTTTTTTCTAGAATATAGCTAGTATGTACTAGGAAACAGAACCCTACTTTGAAAAACTGACTTGTTTAAAAAATTTTGCACAAGGAATCCCAGTATCTTTTTTTTTTTTTTTGAGAGGGCATCTCTCATATTTATTGATCAAATGGTTGTTAACAACAATAAAATTCTGTATAGGGGACTCAATGCTCAATGTACAATCATTAATCCACCCCAAGCCTAATTCTTGTCAGTCTCCAATCTTCTGAAGCATAACGAACAAGTTCTTACATGGTGAACAATTTCTTACATAGTGAGTAAGTTCTTACATGGTGAACAGTACAAGGGCAGTCATCACAGAAACTTTCGGTTTTGATCACACATTATGAACTATAAACAATCAGGTCAAATATGAATATTCATTTGATTTTTATACTTGATTTATATGTGAATCCCCCACATTTCTCCCTTATTATTATTATTATTATTTTTTTTTTTTAGTAAAATGCTGAAGTGGTAGGTAGATGCAAGATAAAGGTAGAAAACATAGTTTAGTGCTGTAAGAGAGCAAATTTAGATGATCTGGTGTGTGCCTGTAGACTAAGTGTTAATCCAAGCTAGACAAGGGCAATAAAACAACCACAGATGCAGAAGATTTCTCTCAAAACAGGGGGGGTGAGGTTCTAAGCCTCACCTCTGTTGATCCCCAATTTCTCACCTGATGGACCCCCTGCGACTGTGTCTGTCTTAGGTTGTTCCTCCCTTGAGGAATCTTACCCGTCTCTGGCTCCCAGTATCTTTTATTAAAGTTAAAACTACCCAAATTTCAAAATTTAGACAATGAGTAAGTCTTAACCATATCTGGCCAGTATCAAGAAAGTACAATTTCATATATGAAAGGTAACAATAAAATTCTGCCACAGAGATTTTAAGAAATACTCTAAAAATCTCTATGTTTAGAATGGTTAACAATTTAATATCTTTATGTTATTAAATGGCTTTAACTTTGCTAAGAAACAATTCAGATATTTCTAAAAACAATATAATTACGAGAAAACATAACAAATACTGTATACAACTGAAGATCAAAGACCACCTAACCAACAAGTAAACCTTTAAAAAATATTTCTGATGAGAACCAGTCCTTCCCTCAAAAGAATAATCTAGTCAGTGGTTGGGACTCTAAAGCACATCGGCCAGAGATGGCCTGTAGACCACTGCTGACAGAATGAGCCTGCTCCCTGTTGCTTTAGAACAGGTTTGGTACAATTGAGAGCAACTTTCTCACAAGATCCCTCCTCCCAGACCACTGGAATCACAAGGGTTAAAAGCTTGGTAATTATACTTTAAAATGCTTACCAGCCCCTTCTGCAGTGACGCTAGAGAACTGAGAATGGTGTAATAAAGCCTGGGTTTTGGTTTCAGCTCCACCAGTTATCTTTCTTTGTAAGAAACTTAGCATTTTTGCACCTTCTGAACATTTGTACAATAGAGACTGCTCAGTAGCAGTAATTAGGTGCCACAGAAAGTGATCCTGGGTTCAATTCCCCAGTGTACTAGGAAGCAGATGACAGGAGTTCTTGGCAAAGCTGGAACCAAAAAGCTCACATGCAAAGTTCTTACGTCAGTTCCTTAATGCACATGCCCTCAATGATGCAATACTACCCAATAATGGATTTTAAATTAGTAGTTTTTCACAAGAAAGATCAATGAACCAGAAAATGGCAATGGTCTCCACGTACACACAGTAGTCTACAGCAATGATCCACGAAAGGCATCTGCCTTCACATGCAGGATACAAAACACCTGGGCTCCAACCGTGCTTCCAGCCCTACCACTCAGTGCTCAATTTTCATGCTCCTAGAGTCTGTCAACATTTCCCTACATGAATATGTAAGTTATTCACTCAAGCCTCTACTAAGTATTCACATAATTTACAGACTGATGTCTCTCGCTGTGTATCTCAGGCTCAGATTCTCCTCTGAGCTCCTGCCTCAGTTTACCAACAGTCTACTCTATTCCTGCTTGCTCATACCACCCAAGCCTCAAAAAGAACTTTGGATAGGCCCCTCTCTAAATCTTCTCCCACCCAGCTTTCCCATCTTTGTAACTAGCTTCAGAATTCACACCATTGCTCAAGGTAAGCCCTGAATGTGTCTCTTTCCTTCCCCATGCCCCAGATCCTCCCACTATCTCATAAGCAATGCAGAGGCAAATACTGCCAATTCTACTTCGACAGTATGTCTCAAATCCACTTTTCTCCATCTTCAGCTGCACCACTGGTATTCAATCCACCATCTCGTGCCTGGAAGATTATCTTAACGGTTCTCTCTTCATCCACTTTTGCTGCCCTATTGTCCAATCTCTGCATAAGGCCAATATTTTCAAACATAACTTAGATGCATCACTCCTTAACTTAAAACCGTTGAATGACTCTCAGTTTCACTGTAACCAAAACCCAGTTCCTTACTATGGTCCTGCCTTCCTCTACAATTTTACCTTACTGATTCCATTCCACTCAGGCTGACCTTGTTATAGTTACTCAAATGTCCCATGATGACTTTCTTCTCTAGAATCTTTATCCAGGTTGTTAGCTCTGCACTCTTGATATACATAGCTCCTTCCCATCCTTTGGGCCTCAGTGAAATGGCATCTTCTGAGAAAAGCATTCCCTGACCACCCTAGGGAGAGTGGAGCCTCCATTTCAATCTCTTCACAAAACCCTGTCCATTTCCTTCTTAACACTTTTTTTTTTTTTACAACTTATAACTATATATTTACTTGTTTACCTAGCATCTTGTTTGGCACACAGTAGACATTTTAACTTTCTCGATGAATGAATTAAAGAGAACTACTATAGGCAAGGCTAACAGCAAACGTTTCCTACCAGATAATGTAAGATGCAATAAAAAAATCTTACCTTGTCAACTTTTTTCTTTTTAACAGGTGGTTCAAATCTATCATTGACTCCAAAATACTGAGTAAGCTCCTTCCACTGGGTTTCACTTGAGGTCTGTTCACTACAAGCAGACAGACAATAACTTACATTTTACACAAAATGTACTCAAATTTATTTTCACTGTTTTTAACTGGTTTCCAGTTAAATTCCAAAAACTAGGTCTTATGTTTCAAAGGTAAGTAGTTCAGCTATTAGTTTAAGTTCCACAAATACAGTCGAGAATAGACAAGTGTAGATTTTACCTACCTATGAGATTCCTCTTCATTCTTCAATTTACCTGAAAAGAATTCACAACATGTCAATACCTAAGTATTTGGTTGTTATTTCAAAATTATGTTTATTAAAAATTGTTGAGCTCAATTAGTCACAATTTAACATTAGCACTATTGACAATTGACCTGAATTAAAACAAAACACCTTTTCTGGAGCGTTTTCTTTTTTTCCTTCTGAATCTTGAGTTTGCAGTTTTCTGTTCAGAATGTTTTTTATGCAATTCTTGAAATTTCTATATAAAAGTAAAAAAAAAAAAATGAAAAGCGAATACATTTGAAGCAAAACATACTTTAATAAGAATACACCAGAGAAAACCTACCTTCCACATATTTAAGGAAATTCCAGAGGGACACTCTTCATAGGCATTTACATTTGTGTCTGCTTCAGTTTTGGGTCCATCCACAGGACAATCTGAGATCTCTGTTTTTATAACGGCCGCACCTTCTTTACCTTCCTGTAAGTTAAGTCCAGAATTCTCTAATGTGGCTTCATCTTCAGAATTCAACTCAACATCACTTTCATTTAGGCCAGGAGGTAGCAGCCCACTCCACATCTTTTCTTCTAAGGGGACAAAGATGAATTTAGATACATAAAGTAGACATGGAAAGAATTTTAAAACCATTTAAAGATACCTAGGCTTCTCAAAACTGAAGGAACAAAATGGCAGCAGACTCAGAGACTCCAAGAATGAACTAGTGGTTACCAAAGGGGAGGGGTGTGGGAGGGCGAAGGGGATTGAGGGGTATTATGCATGGTGTGGGGGATCACGGGGAGAACGGTGCAGCACAGAGAAGGCACATAGTGGATCTCTGGCAACTTGCTGCACTGATGGACAGTGACTGCATTGGGGTGTGGGTTGATAACATAGGTAAATGTAGTAACCACATTGTTTTTTCACGTGAAACCTTCTTAAGAGTGTATATCAATCATACCTTAATAAAAAAAATTTTTAAAAAGATACCTAGGCTTCTAATAACTATATCAATGACTTTTGGAATAGTCATCCAAGCTTTTTTAATAATCTGAAATGGGATGTACTCCATATTAAAATAATTAAAATTTTTGCTTGTATAAATTTTTAAAAAATAAAGTACTTCAAGTAAATTTGTTACAAGGCCCACTTAAAAATGAGTAACTTAAAGAAACAGAATCTTGATCATCTAAATATATGGGCAGTGTTGTCTTTAAAAAAAAGGAAGTTCAGTAGAGCATCCATTGTTCAAGAATGTTACAAGTCCAACAATATACACTAATAGAGTATTTCAAGCTATTATCAGTTTGAAAAGGAAAGAAAGTTAGATGTTTCACCTGTATTTGAATGCATAAAACCTTGAGGGCACTTACTAAGAGTAGGAAAACAATTACTAAAGGAAAATTTCTAGCTGCACAAGTAGTTTCAGTAAAAGGTGGTGAAAAGGATGTCCTAGTTTTAAATTTTATACTGTTTGCTAAAATAATACTAAATGGAGTATAATCCTAATAATTTAACAAAAATGTATAGTTTTTTAAATAATACTGTATTTGGGAAACAAATATTAAGAGTTCAGGATAATAGTTATCATTAGCTATATGGCCCATTGGTAGAATCATTAACTATTGTTAAGTAAAATAAAAATGATTTTTAAAAGTTGGACTTGTAATCATTTGCCAAAATGATAATAGAACACATTTTCATTATTCATCTCCATGGCACAGTCTACTTCAGCATGCATATTGAAGCCAAACCAGTGTCTTCAAAAGATGCCTAAAATAGAGAAGTTGAACTGCTCATGATTTACTATCAACCTGAATGAATAAAATGGGATGATAGATTCTTTCTTGCTGAGTTTTCTGCCCCCTATTGTGATTAATCTAGTAAGAAAACCACCACCGTTGTCTCTGAGACAAAGGCATCACAGGATTTTGCAGTACTCTGAATAATGGATCCTGAATGACTTTTAAGGGCCTCCTCCCAGGTCCAAAGAGTCAGATCTTACTACCTTTTGCGGTTTTGGTCCAGCCTCATCAGTTGTTAGCTCTCTGACACATCCTCTCCAAAATATTCTCTTGGCTTTTAAAGAGGAAGGGCTCTGGCATCAAACTGCTCCTGCCATCCTGATCCACTGTCTGTAACTGGCATGAGGAAATCATTTTTAACACCTCTGGCCCTCAGTTTTTTCATCTGTAATACAGAGATAATTAAGCTGCATACAGAGGTATTCTGAGGATTAAATGAGATAAGTCATGAAAATACTCAACAAATAGGAGGTTTTAGGGGTCCACTGAATGCTAAGTTCTTTATGCTGTTATTATTTTTGTGGCCATGTATTGCATTTTAATAATTTGTTATGGATAGCAGCATTCATACTATAGTTCTGAAGTATTTCATGTTTGAGGTGCATCAACTTAAACAATTGATGCAAATCATTTACTTTCCTGACTTCCACAATTTGACCTTAAGTTTCTATAAAAAATGGAGGTGTCTATAGTTTTCTGAATGGAACAAATAAAACCAGAAGCAAATTACCAGGAAGATAATGGAGCTTATGCTTCATGTCTTCCTCAGCACAGGTCGTTCCAAAGAACTATACCTATTTTTCTATTTAGAATCTATATTCCCTATTTCAAAAGTGACTCAAAATTTTAAGCTCCAGGACTCATAAAACCTAGATCCACCCTTAAACCCAGCCTGAATATTTTAAAGGTTGTAATGGAGGTAATCTTGACATACTTTGTTAACACAAAGGAGATGTGTAAAACATGCCAATATTGAAAAATAGATGTTATGCTAGTAATAAAAATATTTCTACTTTTTGGAGGACCAGGCGGAGGGGAACAATGATAAGCTCCAACATGACTTTGCCACTAGTACGTAATATACCTTTAGCCTCATCCATTTCAGGATTTGAGCATCACCACAAATTTCTGATTTGGCTTGCTTAGCATAACTGGAGGTCTATGTTTAAAACCACCATATCTTTTCCCTATCCATAGCATCTTTTGCATGCCCACTGGATGCTAAGCACTCTTCAAGACATAGACAGCAATACACAAAACAAGCAAAAAGGCCTAACATATATATATATATACACATGGTAAGCCTCTGTCAATCAGTAAGTAGCCAAGTACCACTCAGCCCAGACTTTGGTTGTGGCTGCTCATGAAAGGCATGTGCCTCTCAGATGGGCACAGTTCTTCTACTGGACCACTGTTCAGCACCTCTGCAGGGTGAGTCTATGCTCTGGGCACTTGAATGTGCTTCACCCTGGGAGCAGCCTCAGTTGCCCTGAGACAGGATGCCTTTCCTCATCAGCCCTTAAGCATTTTTTATTGCTTTTTGGACTTTCTCAAAATCATCTGTTTTTAGCTCTTGCTGATGTGGCATTAAGAACTGTCTTCAGTATGGCATTAGCTATATGTTAATTTCTTGTGCGTGCCCACTGGAAAAGGAAAAATTAACTTTAAAAAAGTGGACTCTACATCCAAATCCATATAATAAGGCAAAACTCAAATAAGGTATGTTTCTGAACTCAATTTCTGAACATCTTTAAAGTTATATGCCATTCTCTTGTGACTGTAAACAAACACACACACAAGGACAACTCTGTGGCACAAAGTGGAGCTGCCCACTTGAGCAGCAGCTTGACTGTAAATCAGCCATTATGGAGTGGCTGCTTTGTGACTTGCTTTCGGCTATGTAAAAAAACACTGTCTCTCTATTCCCAGCATATACATGTCATTCATGCATTTGCACTGCAGTACCAACTGGTACCACGTTAGGCCTCCTGTTATTCCTGTTCTGGGTGCTCTGGAGGGTAATCCTCTAGGTCTTTGAAGTGTCTCTCACACCAAGTCTTCCAGGGTATATTTGTTTATTTGAAAGCAGATTAAACTCCAAATTACCCTTTACATGTGAAAATTACTCAGACATTCTCAAGAGATGTGTTATACCAGCCAGATGCAATGCTGATAAGACCACAGTACCCCCAGTAGAGCAGGTTTCCCTCCTCAACCTAGCCACCACAGCCAAGATTTCTAGTTTGCACTAGATTCTAAGACTGTGCACTTCACACAGGACATCTGTAAGATGCTCTGGAGAAAGGGAAGGAAACCCCAGCCTCAGGAGAAGAAACAACCAGAAAGGAAAAGAAAGCAGGTCACTGCTATACATGGCATACAAACAAAATGACAGGCGCTCTTTTACAGTTAATCCTCACAATGACCCTTCCAACTAGGAATTACTATTTAAACCCCTTTTGCATTTGGGGTAACTGACTTGCCTAATGCATTGTGATATGCTTATTTTGCAAAGACAGAACTCTATGGCTTCAATTTATAAACTTTCAGAGGGTTGAGTTTAAGTAGAAATATAGTCATGGAGACAAAGATTGGAGAATGGGTGTGAAGGACGACTCTAGTCTGTAATTCTGTTAAAATTCGATTTAGAATAATTTTTTTCTCACGTTTTAAGTGCAGAAATTAATGTTAAGATGCTATACTAAATTGCATGCATCAGAGTCACATTCAGAAATCTGGGTAGTAATGTCACATTTTCTGGAAGACCAGGCAACTGTTTAAAACCAAAACCCAATCTGAGCAGTTTAATGTAAATATCTCCTGTCTCTACTATTCCAAAATTTCAATTCCATTTTTACCAAATGAAGCTATCTTATTTCTCATATTTCTGTGTTCAATTAGAAATAATCACAGAAATCTGAGCCTTGTCTCATCTGAATTTAATATTACTTCTATAATAATTATAAAGCACCACCCACCATCATGTTAAATACACAACAGTCAGAGTTTCCGCGACTTGGAACTAATTAACTAAAATATTTTTTAAGCATGTATCATCAACATGATTGTAAATGTCCTATTCACTTTTATGAGATAAATGTGTTCCTTTTTCTCAAAAAGGTAGAGAAAATACAACTGAATCACACTCCTGAGTTCGAATTTAAGTTACCGAATCTTATTACCCAGATATAATATTTATTTAGCAGGATTCTGCATGTATGCAAAAGTTGTAATTAAAAACAGTATTTGTTTACTCAAGGCCTGGAAAACACTTCCCAGACCCAAGACCCTGCATGGAAAGATTTACAGTTAACCAGTAACATTTCGAGGCTCATTTTAGGTCGGATGCCGCTATAAGAATACTTACAACGTTCAAGAGTGCAAGAGGGTGGCTCTAGAAAGGTACACCTTTTCCTGCTGGGCAGCACGCCCCGCACCTCCGCAGGCTCTGGCGGCAGCTCCACACGCTGGTCCCCGAACGGGAAGAACCCGCCCCGGGCTCGGAACTAAGCGCCGCCGATTCTGGGGTAGGACGTCTAGTCTGACACTCATTAGTTGCAACTCCTTCCCGGGGCTCAGTAATTGTAAAAAGGAGTGGGTTTCCCCAACTGAAGTCTCCTCACCCCTCTCACTTTGGCTTGGGTGAGGCGGAGAACCCCTCTCCCACCAACAGACTCGGAAAGGCGCTGCGACTCCCCTTCCAGGCAAAGTGGAGGCCAGTCGTGCTAACGCCCCCGTGGGTCCGGCTCGGCCGAGGGGCTGTGAAGCCGCCCACTCCGGCTCCCTCGCACACCGCACCCGGTGCTTCCCGCCCCGTGACGCCGGAACCCGGGCCCACCAGCCGCCAGCCCCGCCGTCAGCTGTACTCACCGGGCTGGAACCGGCCGTCCGGCAGCCATCTTGGTCCCACACCAACACCGCGCCTTCTCATTGGCTCCGGCATCCCAGCCAATAGGTCGCGGCCGTTCTGGCCTCGGGGTCGCCATGGCAACCGGCCGCGTTCAGCCCCGTTTTTTCAGTCTGCAAGAGGGAAATTATTCGTTTTTTTCTACTTCTTTTCTTGCACCCTTTCCCGCCTTTCTTCGGGACGATTTTTAGGCTTTATTGTTTCGCCATTCCCTGCCGTACGCCGGCGTCCGGGGATGAGGCACGTGCTGGCGTAGACTTGGAATTAGTTGCTACCCCAAGGAGGGAGAGTCGCTGCAGATTCCCTCGAGACTGTCCTGGAAACGTTTCCACTCATTCATCCTTTCCCTTAGCTCCTTTTTTTCCTCCCTCCCGCCCTTCCTTTTTTTCTTTCTCACGTATTTATTGAGCAGGCACGCTGCCAGTCTCTGCGTAGCAGAAAACGGCCCTGCTCTCTTGGCGCTTACCGTCTGCTTCTCTGCGCCAGAAGCTTAGTGAGCCCTGTCCGCTGACAGCCACTGGTGGAGGCCCCAAGGAGGGGATCGGCGGAGCATGAGGAATAAGCAAGAAAACAAGAAAAGTGCTTTGAAGAAGGCAGAATACCATCGTGTTGGGCGTGGGGCTGTTTTAGAAATGCTTCCATTTTCCGAAATAGTGTTCTGTAATAATGATAAAAAGACTTAAAATACTTTTCTATCTTCTGGTGTTGTGAGGATGCTGTAGTACATATAAAGCTCTTAATACATTACCTTGGTTAACTCCCAGCCTTAACTATGTGTACTTTTTTATTGGTGTTAGTGTTATCAATAATGCCTTTCTTTAAAGCATTCTAGAAATATATAAAAATTTTGCACGACATTCAGTAATACATCACGATTTAGTGTAAACAGAGGTTCAAGCTTATTACTTAACTATACACACCCTCAATCCCCGATGTCTTTCAGAAGGTAAGCCAGATCTGTGGAGTCGTTCTCTATAACCCCAGAATCCTAGTAAAAACTGAATTGACCAGCTGGGGTCACTACCCTTTCTCATACTCCCATTCTCTGATTCTAGAACAGAAGCAGGGCCGAGTGATGTGAGGATCTGTGTGAAACTCCTGTGTCCAGATGTGTCCAGCTTCTCCATGGTGTTTTCCCTGAATCAAAATCCTTAAAGTGTTAAGAAGTTAAAAAGAAGATGTGGATGAAAGACTGTCAAGCTGTTGCATTGGGCTTCTCACTTGCGGCACTGGCCTGCTCAGGCAAACCGAAATACCACAGGCTGGGCGCCTTAAACAGCAGAAGGTTATTGCTCACAGTTCTAGAGGCTGGAAAGTCCAAGATTAAAGTATCGACAAAATGGGTTTCATTCTGAAGCCCTTTTCTCTTGGCATGTGTGCCTGCGTGATGCCTTCTGTGTGGGTGCGGGAGGGGCAAAAAGAGCAAGGAAGAGAGGCAGCTCGCTGGTGACTCTCCTCGTGAGGACACTAATCCTGTCTGATCCGGGCCCCATTTCCAACCACAGCCACACCAGGCATTAGAGTTTCAAATTTCAACAAAAGAAATTTGGGGGGGTAAACATTTAGTCCATAACAAAAGTTCACAGTGGAAGTATGACCAGAATGGGGAGAGAGCACAGAAGGGGAAGAACTGAGACATGGGATAGGAAGGAAGTAATGTTGACCTATTTAAGAACTATCTGGATTGTTGCTACCGATATGTCATCAAGGAATACTTATTATTCAGTGTGTATAAATGTGCAAAGAATAGGAGAGGAATATAAGTACGCTAAAGACAAACACCAGATTTAACATCAAAGGTTTTTAGAAAGTCCTACTCAAAAGAATATGTATTTTTAAATTTTCTCAATGTTAATTCAAGAATTCCAAATATCTGATTGTTTACTGTATGACATTATTGGATTTCTATAATAAATGTAAGTAGCTCAGACTTTTTTCTGGTTCTGGTTGTAAGACTTTTAGTCTCTGAATATTATTGTTTTGCCAGTTTTCTGAAGAAAGTGTCAGTCATTTGATTTATCTTATCAATAAATTTACCTTCCCTCCAGCAAATTCCTGCCCTGGAAATCTGCCAAACCTTGCATTTTATGAATGAAATACTTGTATTTGGGAGATTTCTATGAAACAGAATTATTGAATACTTTTTACTAAGTCACAGGGAATGTGATGGAGCTTGTGAATTGTGCTTGAATTGTGATGCATCTGGCACTAATTTCACACATGTATATTACATTTAAATTCTCAAACATATCTTAAAAAATCATAAAGCAGTTTTTCTTTGCCATGAAATATTATAGCTTATGAAGAGTTTTCCCTTATTTTCAGTCATTTTTTTTTAGCATAGAGATTACAAATCACACTCATGGTATAAAAGATTAACTATGGAAGTCTTTTTTGGTAGCTGCCAAAACTCTGATTGATGAAAATTTCCCCAAATATAATGAAATCTCTTAAATATTTCTCAGTTAGTAAAAGTGAATATGACTTTGTTGAACATATAATAAACATGCTTCTTGCTGAAACTGGAAAAGAGTACAGTTAATTTCCATCTGTACAAAATGCCTCATTTTCAGCATTGGAGAAAAAGTAGTCTAGTGACTTTTGCAAAAAAATAGAAACAAAGAAGTTCCAAATTTTAGAAAATGTGTGACAATTTCTCTACCTGGATTTGCTTTTTAAATTTGCATACTGAAGCAGCTTTAAGCAATGGTAGTCTTCCAAGAATATGTTGGAGAACGAACACCATAACATTGGCAAGAGTTGACATTTGAGGAAACAAAATTTTTGTAATATAGGATGTTGCCAAAGGAAATCACTTTTCTTTATTGGTCATGTACATTTAAAATCTCCAGGTCCAATAGGTTGTACATAGGAAGAAAGGGAAGATGAGAGGAAGGCTTATTGAGCATTTCTGTAGGCTAGGTATTTTGCAACTAAAATCTTAAAATCCTGTGAGGTAGTTGTTATTGTATCCATTTTACAGATTAGGAAATTAAGGCTTCAGAGGTTTAAGAAACTTGCCTAATTTCATACAGCTAGTAATATATCAAATCAAGGTTTGGGAAACTTTCAATGGACTCTGAAACCCCTGTTATTCCCACTGTCACACCCTGCCCCCCATTGAAGGTGAAGTCCCTGATAAATCCCAGCATAGTGCAGTCAATAAAGTATAGACATCATTACCACCCAATGGGATGTGTACCCAGAGGCTGCAGGAGCAAACTGTATCCCCTCTCTGTCCCCCTCAGTACCTAGTGAGTGATCAGATCCCATCAGAGGTATCCTCTTCAGGCATTCCTGGTTTGCTACATTGAACTCTTTGCTAGTCTCCCTTTTCCTAATACCTTCAACCTCCCAAACAGCTCACTGCCTGATTAATCAGTCTCTCTAGATGGAGGAATACATGAAAAGCTTTTCACCCAGAGTCTAGCATGTAGTCAGTGGTCAATAAATTAGTTTCCTTCCCTTACACATAAAAACTAAGGAATAAGTGTGTGTGTGTGTGTGTGTGTGTGTGTGTGTGTGTGTGTGTGTGTGTTGGGGGAAGGGCATTGAACAGGCGGAGCACAGAGGATATTTAGGACAGTGAAACTATCCTGTATGATACTCTAATGACAGGTACATGTCACTATACACTCATCCAAACTCATAGAGTGTACAAAAGCCAGAGTGAACTGTAATGTAAACTGTGGACTTGAATGATTATGATGTGTCAGTGTAGGTTTATTAATTGTAATAAATGTACCACTGGGGGGGATACTGATCATGGAGGTGGCTATGCATATGTAGGGCAATGAATATGTGAAAGAATCTCTGTCCATTTTACTGTGGCCTCCATTTTACTGTGAACCTAGAACTACTCTTAAAAAAAAGCATTAGGAAGATTCAAAAGAACAATAGTTTATTACCTGTGAAAATTATACAAAATCCAAATTAAAGTGTCCATAAATGAGTTCTATTGGAACTTATGCACAAAAAACTAAGGAGTACATAAATGCTGACAGATTATCAGATTTATCTGTCAACATCTTTGTGGTCCTTACTATGTATCCATTGCTCAGCACTTTGCTGAGGTTTAAGGAGAATACAAATGAAGTGTATGAACTGGCCTGTCGAGAAGTTTGTAGCCTGAGACATGTAATATGGCTATAAATGATACATTTTACACCATAATAGAACTGTGAGGTGCACGATGTAAGTAGGAACTATAGGAATCCTGAGAATGGAAGGGTAACTAGATGGAATTTAGCACATGCTCTTCCCTTTGCCTGGAATACCATTATTTTTTGTACCTGTTGAACTTCTTTTCACCCGTAAAAACCATGTCTACTATTACCTCCTGAGTTAAACATTTCTTTACTTATGCAGTTCATGCCTTTCTTCTCTATGCCTTCATAATAGTTAATACACAGCACAACTAGGACTTTACTACACCAAAATACAGTTTATTGTCAATTGAGTCAATCTGCCTCAATAAATTGTGAGCTCCTTTGAAGTCACATCTTTGTCATGTAGTGCTCAGTAGGTGCTTGTGAAGAGGATGGATGGGTGACAAGGGGAGATGTCAATGCGTGGGATGAAGAGAGATGAGAAAGATAGTTTAGAAGCACCACGTGAACAAAGGCAGAGTGATGGCAGGAAGGCTGTGGTTTAGGTAAGACACAAACCAACTTGGGTCAGTCTATGAGGGTCCTTCCCTAAGACAAATAGACAAGTTCTGCCTTGATACAAGAGAGGGAATGAAAGGATTCTGATCAAGGGAGTAATTCTGATCAGATGAAGCTTGTGCTCTGGAGAGCCTAATCTTACAGTCTTGTGAATATGAAAACATGGATTTGGAGGTAGTTGAGCTAACATGAAAGACACCTTAGCTAAAAGACCATTACGGCATAA